TTTGTGCGTGCAGCTGACGCGCCTATAAAGAAACTAACAATAGAAAACATTGTGGTTAGTCAATGAGGACGGTAGCCCTATTATTAACTATCAAAACCCACAATGTAAAAGGACTCCTGCAACCCTATTTATTTATTTATTTACCATTTATTAACCAAAATATACCATTAATTAGCCATTTCAATTATTTCGTTTAAAATGGTTTTCTCTTTCTTATTAGGGGTGCTTGGTTAGTACCAGATGCCTGGGGCAGTAAAAAAGCTTACGTTCACATTGGCGGAACCACACTAGTTATTGTATGTATGTATAAGCTTAGTCGCGTTCCAATGCCAGAACGATCCTGAATGAAGCGCATCCCAAGAAGAGACCGAACAACATTAGATGCTCTCTTCTCTGGAACTTTTGTAAAGAAAAACTTCTCGATGAGATTAGTACAAGACTGCCTTTATGTTCTGTGAACTGAGTGCCAATCAAAAAAGTTCACAGGGTTGTTGTATTTGATTAACGGCGGTGGGATTAAACTCCATAAAGCAAATGTTAGTATTACTGTAGCAGCGTAGCTAATGGCGCATTCCCCTGGTGGAGTATGCTATGCTTCCTCTGGGAAAAGCGACCAAAATCCCTTCAACTTTCCTTCGTTTCCGCGACCAGAATTGCCCTGATCCTTTTTTTTATCACATATTCCTACGTATATTTGTTATGAGAGCTAGCCTAAATGTGCTGAAGGTAAAGGAACTATCATAACCCTCATACAAAGAAATTGCGGAGGGAATCTTCTTCCCCCTTGGGGGAGGGGGGGGGGGTGGGATGGGAAAGGATAGCATGCGGTCACAGGTGGCTCGAAATGCCTGCCGCCTCTCGTCACTACTCTCACTCGGTTCAGGCTACGTGGTCTAAAAGTTCAACCTGGCGCTGGCACAAAATCCAGCTTAACTTATCGGTCTGTGATTTTTCCCACGCACTCAACTTTCAACTCTGGAAAACTTCGTCAAAGATGAGTTCCGGAAAAGGGCAAATCCGTAACAAGTGTAAGAGCTGTAGAAGTGTGCAGCCTTATTTCTTTCTCAGAAGTCAGCTGTAAACTCAACAGCTCATTAAAATAAGCGTTTTATTCCTTTTGAAACTCTTACTATATAAAAACTGGTAAAGCTATACAGCAGCCGTCAAAATAATGACTAAGGCGGTTTTTCGAGCACTACATTTTTTCTTTTGGAAAAAAATCACTCAAACATCAATTGAGATTTTGTTTCCTTATTTTTTAAAGTCGAAGTCTGACGGATTGAAAAATTCTGAAGCTCGGCATACTAGAACTGCGATTTGGTTAGATAAGCGGGAATGAAACTAGCTTCAGAGATAATTTGACCGCTGTTCTTTATTTGGCCTCCCAGTGCCTAACGATATCTCGGTCTATGTAAATTCTGTCAACGCTCTAACGTCTTTAAGTTCTGACAGATCTTCAAGTGTGACCATCAGATCAGTGGTGGTTTTGCTACTGCTAAAAGGCTCAAGACTAACATGTCGTTGTCAATTTAATCCAAGAATGTCGGGCTCCTGGTCCCTTCAACCCGAGAATGTCGTGAAGGGCGAAATAGACTGCCAAGCCGGACGAAAACACCAAAAAAAGGAGGGCGGTCGGAGAAAAGGGCTCTGACCCTTAACAAAGATTTTAGTGGAAATAAGGGTTACCCAGCTCCAAACTAACCTAAGCGCTGATCATGCTGTTCGCACTATCGGAACCGTAACCAAAAAACGTACCATCCCGAGAATTTGGGAGGTTTCCAGAGGACGTTTCCCATTCTTCTCGGAAAGTACGGCGAATCTTTCTGATAGGTATAGCTAATTTTCGAAGGATCCATTCCTAAAACTGTATACTGAATATCAATTTTCCGTATGAAGCAGATCAGACCACCTGTAAGCGCTAAGGGAATCAGCACCATTGTATCACTGGAGTTCAAGGTGGCCAACATCGCGGATTGTCGTATCGAGTCGTATAATGTGGCTCCCTGTGGGAAGAGCAGCCCTGTAAAAGCCCTTTGAGGTGGGAAATGGGGAGAGGGAACTGGGCGTTTGGGATGTAACTCTTCCGTCGACCTATTGGCGTGGCCTTACGGCTGCTGAATCTCTAGGTGGCGTTTATAGGCGAATTTTGGTTTTTAAGGCTAATGTTCGTGGAAAAATGGCGTTCAGACTTTGCGAAGCGGATGATCTCTTTAGTGGTTTTCATGCTTATTGATTAGACCGCCTTGTTGCAAATTCTAGAAGTAACCTAAATGGTTCAGCTTTGAAAATGCGGCCCTTTCATGAATCACGTATCTCCAATCGTTCGCGTGAGAAATCTTGCTTACAAAAACTTCTCCTCAATAATGCAGCCAATTACTTCCGTCACATTCCATATGTAAGCATCTGAAGCGAAAGTACATTCCTATAATGGCAAGGCTAGTCGATCGCTCGATTGTCTCACTTTATCATCAAAGCCTCTCGGACTTTTATCGCATGAAAATAACACGTTTTTCTAGCACTGACCCAGAAAATGGCCTGATAAACTGTAGGGTTTTGGGGTACCTTGGCACTGTGTTCTTGCTAACCCTTCAATACACCGCCGTTGTCTTCGTTTTTCTCTGTTTTGGGAAGACTCTGTTAACTCTCTTAGCAATATCAGCCAAGCCAAGATATCTTCGAATCAGAACTGTCCAATGAGATGGACAGTCCGAAATCCTGCAATATCATGATTCCCGTGAATTGATTCCATAGGTCCTTGAAGGCTACGTGGAAGGCAAATTCACCGGAAAGTTAGCCGGTTAAGGTCGCTACCAAGGGTCATGACATACAGGTGTCAAGCAAATAAAGTTATGAGTACAATTCCGAACTTCATCGAAAGTCGTACAGCTTGCCCCGACTAGGAAATAATTTAGTCCTGGTTTCAACGATTTCTTTCCCTCCTTTGAAAGGCAACAGACCCAAGGCGAGACAACTGCTGAGCCAGCAGCGTTCCGTGGTCGGATCCCACTCAGGTCAGCCGAGACTTTATCGAGAACAGTACCGTAAGAAATGACAGAAATGCTGCAGAGTTCAGAGGTGCTGCTTTACGCCTGTACAAACCGTAGAATCAAACGCCTAACGATGCACACTAAATGCTCCATCCATCTAGGGTCACCGAGCAATAATATAATTAGCAATTCAAAATGTTTAATGGTAAATATCGCATAGCGACAGTCCACAAATCATGTGAGTGGCGGGAGTCTACGGTCGTATCGATTGATGGCATCGCGCCAGAAATTGATGGCCTGAGCCAGCAACCCCATAGAACTCGTCCAAACACGCCCTGTACTCATCCCAGTGTGGATGCTGCTGTAAAGAAGGGGGCTATGCTCACGGTGTAATCAGCGTTTTCTTTTGCTTTCTTTTTCACTTTTTCGTTCACTTTGCACCTTCATCTTCATTATCGCACCACGTTTTCATTGTCTTCATTCTTTTTCCCCCACCAACTGATCATGACCCGTGCCTTTGAGGGTGCGCCACGCATTCAAGTTTGTGGATTATTTTTCTGCAGATACTGGAATATTTAATCCAGTAGCAGCCAGCCAATGTCGCGTATTGATGAACACATCTGCTCTATAATCCCATCTTTCTCAGAACTGCTTTTGGGCCACCACTATTTTTTTAGTTACCAAATGGGTCCCAGAAGCCTCCGATTTATTGTTCTGCCCTTAACAAATGTTCTCGGAAAAATTTGGTCAACGTCATTGGGGCGCCAGTGAACTCTCCTCAAAGGCCATTAATATTGCTGGCGGTATCTTTCATTGTATTTGACGGCTTCCCAGGAGCAAGGGTCCCAGAAGCGAGGACGACTCCAATCTTTACATCTTCTCCCAGAACCGAGGTCCCAGAAGCAAGGGTCCCACAAGCTAGGAGGCTCCAAACTTTATTCCTTTCAAGCTCATATTCTGCCAAAGAACACAAGAATTGTGTGGTCGTACTGACCAATTCTCCGGTAATCTTCGCCAAGCTTTCGACCCTCTTTCCGGGTTCCGAACACAATTGGGAGTGCCCTTAAAAAACTGAAACTGTTCAATTTCCACTTTGGCCGTCTGCCTTAACCTCACCATCAGGTATTCTGGCTGTTTGCCAAGTCAAGAGGGAGGAAAACCAAGAGATGCGAGTGGAACCAATTTTAGAGAGTGCTTTTCGGAGTTCCTTGTAGCTGCGCTATCTCTCCACTCAAATAATATCATTGATGTACTTTTTTTTCTGTAGATTTTTTTTCTCCTGTGGTGGCTCACTAGATGCAAAGGAATGCGCGAGTGTTCCAAGTGCGTAATAGTACCATACTCTCTCTCTAAATCAGTTTTTTAATGGCGTTCGTAGGAATCTGTTTGAAAACACTAGAGTTCGCTCTGTCTGGAGAAGGCCGATATCGCGTTTTCTCGGAAATAAGTCTCCAATAAAAAACTTCAATCTAATTAGAGTGGATTCTGAGGCTTTCATTGAATTACAAACAACCCCTAAAGAAAGCTTCCATGAAGTGCAAAGTCTGGAGAAGTCCGTAGCAGTACAGATATAGTAAGAGAGGGAGCTTCTGTCCAATATTCCTTCTTCAAGAGATGCGCACGCATTCACCTCCAATTCAGTGTAGCAGAGGTGCAAAATGTGTCGTGGCTTACTACCAATGACTTACGGGGCCAGCCCAACAACACGTTACAGTTTATCCTCTCCAGGCAATTGTGATAGCGCTAGTGGAAAAGTTGGGATACGCCATGTATTCGACTCATTATTAGAATTGATGTGAGTGGAAATGTGGTCATTCAAAGGCACATTTCGATCGGTAGGATTCATTACATCTCTGCTGACCTGCACACAACGTGTAATAAGCTGCGCTGACACCTTCTTGCAAACGGTGGTAATACTTATTTTCTGACCCGCTTATCAGTTGTTATCGGTTGTTATCAAATTTTCCCACCGCTATCGACATTTGACATCCTATAAATGATGAAATGGTACTCCATATTCGTTATGACACATGGATTTCGTGGTACATGAACAGACTATGCAGCTGCCAGACTTTGTGACCAGTCGTAACCGACTCGCGCGATTCGCTAGCGACTTCTCGCGAAGTCTGACACCTATTTATGGCTTTGTATAGTAGGGATTTGTCACGTGTAATTTCGCGCCTACTCATGTAAACTTGTGTACAGGTATTACTGTAAATGGTACTGTATTTCAGATGATGTCCGAAGTGTCATCACATTGTCTGACCGAGCGTCAGATGCAATTAGCCGTGAACGATATCGAGCGATTGTTTATCGGCAAAATCGTGCCAGTATTGATTGTGTTCGGAATCAGCGGCAATATTCTTAATCTTACAGTACTGCTCACACCGGCCATGAGAACCAGGTATGCATTTCACAGCAAACAATGTCCGTATGCACTTCAGATCAGTCAAAAATAGGGTAAGAAGGTGTTTATCGCGTATGAAAAACTCTCAGGTTGTAAATATGGTATGTACAAGTGACACCTCAAATGTATGGATTAAGAGAGGGCTAATATTTTTTGAGAAGGGAAATTGGTCGTCGTTAGTTGAATAAATTGAGATGCGACAAGCACCCGACTCGTTACTAGAAATCATTTGAATGGAAGGTCAGCCTGTGAGTGATTTAGCTTGAACGACAGAAGTAAAGTGAACCATAGAAACAACAACACAGGAATTAAGGACCTAGTTGTCTCCTGAGATCGATGTGGTGCGACGAAGAGGCACTGCGTAGCAATTAGAGGGAGCACGTGAGACAGTATGTCGCACGAGAGGGTGCAGACGGAGAGACGTTCAATTCTCCTCCTAGATGAGGTCTTAGCTGCGCGATCGTTGAAGCTTAAGGTCGTGCTTGGGTTCAGGTTTAGGTTAGTTGTGCTCACACCATGGCTTATGCTCAAGCCTATTCTTAAGTCCAGCCTCAGCCGTAGGCTTGCAGCGAGCAAATGAGTGTCGTCTTAATTTTAGGTGACCTGACCCGAGGAGAGACTGAAACCTGAACAGATGCCGCGTTTGCTACGAAAGAATAAAAATAGCAACGGTAGCAGGGATCAAGGAGAGGCCTAAGCGTCCCTGTACCGCTTTTTGAAGTCGCGACAGTGCCATGGTTCGAGGTCGTTGCTGCCTCATCTAGGGCTGGAATCGCTCTAAGGATCCGATCACAACCCGTGCATTTGGTTTTAATCCCCACAGTCAAATTTGGTATAAGTTAGTCGCTTTATGAGAGATAGAAGATTTTGTTATATTTCGAGACTTTCAAACAATAAATAACAAAGTTTCTTCTTCTTGACTCAAAGGCAAAACAGATCACTTCTTGGGCATAGCCGAGCTGAATTACCCCTGCTAAACTCTCTTCTAAATTGTTATTTCTTAAGCTCACTGCTGCTTTGTCAGATATTTTTACTACGTCCATCCTGATGTGGTCTCCGATCGTTACTCTGTAACAAATCATCTTGTCTTCCACAACAATTACCCCAATTGCTAAAAAGCGTAAATGACGCAAAATGTCGTCTTTTTTCTATTTTTCGTTATAACTTCATTTTTAGTAAATAAAGGCTTGGCGGAAAGGCATTCCATCAAAGGGAGCGATTAAATAATGAGGGAGTGCATCGGGGAAGCATATGCACCACACGAAGCAGTTACTTGGCTGCCTAGAAAGCGAGGTATGGCACTCTCCCGAGCGAATGGTGCGCTGGTTGCAGAGCAGGACTTCGAAAGCGCCCCGCCCTCAGAAGCGCTCCACCTACTAGCTTAGTTGGTGATTTGGACGAGCTGTGTAATTGGTATGGTGCCACCAAGCGCGTTGCAATAAACTCGTCCATACGTCCTCCGCCTCAGCACTGTCTAGGCGCTCTTGAGCGCGATCAACGACCAAAAACAAGGGGTTCCCTGTCGCGTTTTCGACGACTTCTTCCTGCTCTTATCGCATCAGGTACCATTGAGCACCTTCCTACTTCTCTATCTTCTTGAGCTATCGAATCACTGTCTGTTGAACTTAGGCTCGTCGGATTCTATATGGTTGGAGTGCAAAATTTAGAAAACTATTTAAGAACTCCTGATTTCATTGTGGCATTAGAAAGGCAATTGCGCTTCATTCTCACTAAATAGGAATCAAATTATAACAAAAAAATGCAAAGTTGTGTCCAATTAGGGTAAATGGTGTGCAAGTTTTGGTCGAACATTTTCCGTGCAACAAGACGAGAACGCGCTAAATCCGCTCTCGGCCTGTTTGTCTGCCCTTCCCGTGCATCTTTACGCAAATGGGCAATCTCATCCTATGGCCAATATGGCTGGCGCATGACGTGTTTGATATGTTGCCAAATGTGTCGAGGTACCATCCAGAAATGGATCGCGGCTTATTTCTGCCCAAAGCAAGGACATGCTAGCTTTATAGAAAAAGGAAATGCGTCAATCACCGCTATTTTCTGAGCTAAAAGAACATATAGGATTTTTCATGGAATCGCTGGGAACAAGGAACTTTCGTAAGCAAAAAGGGAAAGCCTGCTAAACTGAAAGCACCGCGATTCTATGGATGTGGGTTAAAGCCCGACAGTGATAATATTTCCGGCGACAGGTACAGCAGTGAAGAAATAAACCAAAATTCTGCTAAGAACCCCGAAAACTGCATCGCGCGCTAAACCTATGGGGGGGGGGGGATTCAGGCCGCTATTCTCGTTTGTTGCTGACCCTCCGTCATATGTTCCAATGTAATTCGCCAAATCACCCTCCAGGGTTTCATTAGTCATCTCTTTTTCTCGACATGGTAGGTCACGGTAGAACACGGTAAGAAGATCAAGCCAATAAATGAAAATTGCATAGCGGCGGCGCAAACCCCGCCCATGCGAGCATCGCGAGCTGTGATTCTTTGAATTCTTGTCAATTTCTTGGCTTTTTTCTTTACTTGGGCTTTAAGCTACCAATGACTACTCTATGTGTGAGAAGCATTGATCTACATTAATATTTCATCACGAGCGATGTCCTTTTAACTAAATACATGTTCTGGAAACGATGTTGTTCTAATTCCGCGAGTAAAGATGAATCCTGCAGGCTGAAGAATGATTGTAAGGCGTAGGTTAAAGGGTCGGAAGTAAAACGGAAGGTTTGTACTCATCGCACTTGGCTTAGGCCCTTCGAGCTCAATGAGCTTTTGAGTGGTCGCAGTGAAACTTCATAGATAGCAATAATGAGCACCGCTACGTACGCCGCCGAGGCGTTCTCGCCCAGGTTGAGTGAGCGTCTCTTTTTTCTGAGGCTACATATGTGGTACCACCGTTCTATGGGAAGCATTGCTTTACCATTACTGACTAAACTTTACTCGGCCATCGCAAATATTTATGTCGACCGAATGCGCACTCAACGCCTCTGGCATTGATGGATACATGGCGCATTCCGGAAGTTACTCTACAGCTGGATCGTTGCCAAACACCAGAAAAGTATCAGTATTTTTAAGAGGTTTTCTACAAGATTACTACGAGATACAGGGTGGCTACTAAATATTGGCGCATGGTTTATTGATTATATTTTTACGAAGGATAAAAAGGATAAAGCATTTGCCGTTGATCAATCCCTTTTTGGGATGCGGCACGCATTCTACTTCCATTTGTACATTCGTAGTGGCGTTTGAATGCGATGTGGCCTATACAATGACTTGCGGGGGCCAGCCGATGTACAAGTCAGTGTTTTTATCCTCCCAGACAAGTCTGGTACCAATTAACCGACCCGGAGGGATGGAAGGCTTGGTTGGCCCCGGGACCGCTCGCGTGGTGAGCGCGCCACTTGTCACTACACCACTTCCGCCCATATTTTTACGAAGGGAAGCTATTACATCTTCAGAAGGTTTATTTTTATATACAATAAACATAACGATGCATCTACCGAAGAAGGTGCTTGGAAATGACCTCCTTGGCAACAGTACAGGGCTTCAAGTCTCTTCAACTTCTACTACGGTGGGCCGCAAGCGGCCGACTTCGACTTCCTCCTAGAAGATCTTCACGCTGGAGGTGGCGCATAGTTCTCAAAACGACAAGCAATTGTTGGGTCCGGCTAGCAGACATTCTGCTCCGCGTCGTGTGCACACAGGGAGACGATTTCCAAAATCTGTCATGGTTTGGGCAAGGGTTACTTCCTGAAACCAAAACACTGCTTGTCCTTGTGAATAAATCCGTCAAAATTAACGCTCAGACCTACCAGCAAACAGTTTTACGAGATGTGCTCTTTCCGTCGGATGTTCCGAATTTCAGCGAAGCGTCAGCAGATGGGGTTGGCATACCGCGAAATTCACGCTATCCACTCTGTGACCGTCATTTTCCAGGTTACTGGTCACAAAATGTTTGGGCATCTATCTCGCCCAATTTGAACCCAGTGGATTTTGCAGTCTAGGACTTCTTGCAGCTGAAGGTCCTTCTTAGCAACTTCGAAGTTTGGACTCCATAAAGACTTCCTTGAGGAGGCGTGGAATGGAAGCTCGACGTCAGCTACTTGCGGCCCACAGTGATGTCAGTTGAAAAGAGATTTGAAGCCTGTATCGCTGTCGAAGAAGGCCATTTCGAGCACCTTCTTTCGTTATGTATCCATTGTACATACATAAAAATAAACCTCTGAAGATTTGATAGTTTCTTCTTGTAAAATTATAGTCAATAAACTATGCGCCAATATTCAGTAGCCACCCTGTAATTCTCAAATAAGGTGGAATTAATACGGTGTCGGATAGATTGCTCACCACGAACGCAACTAGTGATCAAATCCTGGCCGTGCGCCATCCAGATCGACCAAGTCTTCCATCTCCTCCAGAGATGGGTGAAAATCGGTCGAGGATTCGTCGACGGTTCGTCGAGGATTTTCGACTGTTCAGTCACGCTCTCCCACGCGGACATTCACTCTCGCCACGTGCGAGCCGTCTGTGCTCTCCGCGCATGCATTCACTCTCGACACTACTTCTCACACAGTGCAGAGCCATGGCGAGGATTTCCTCGTCTCTTATTCACACTGCTCCGGAGTCGGTCAGTTGGTAGCAGCTCTGCCGGGGAGGATGAGACGCCGACTCGGACCTAACAAATAACATCACAAATCACACGTGAGCCCCGCATGTCATTTTGTAGGGCATGTCACAATCAAACTGTCACTACGATTTCGAGCGCAAGTAGAATGCGTGGCGCATCCCAGAATAAGATCAGTGAGCAGCTTACGCTTCGTCCTTTATTTTTTTCGTTCTCAGAAGGAATCTTTTCTGGTCGTCACGCATCATAGATCATTCTGCAGAAATTTAATTTGAGAACCTGAGATCCCTACTCGTAACCTGAAAATGACAATCTTTGCTGCATCCGTGCATTCGGCTATCCCTGTGGTGACTGCAGCGATAGCGAGGGTAATATGATCCCTGCTTCGAATACGGGGGAATACTAATCTTCTTCGAGACGTCACCACTACGAGACAAGCCGAAATCCTTGTCGTCCGACGTTTATTCTGGGAAAGAATGCCAAACGGTGATGACATACGCGACATTTTCAACCACTTCGATTATGAGAATCGAATTTCACATTGGCGGAGTAATTACTGAATTCGCTTGGACAGCGGTCGAGAGTTTAGGAGAGGGGGGGGAGGGGGCGGTGGGAAGAGTTTCCGGGAGTTGAGGCAGGATGAAAAGACTGAAACTGCTAAGTCTTCAAATCGTAGGATGGGTTCCTGTCACCGTCAGCCATTTGGCTTCCAACAATAAAGCTGTATTTCTGATTCGGGGCGGGATGGTGGGGGTCGTATTTGTTGACGTTAGGATCGCAATTTCCTAACAGAAAGAGGAAGAAACAGATGAGAAATTCCACTCTTTTCCAGAAATTAAAAAAATTCTAGTAAATTTTGAAAATTCCGTTTTTTTGTCGGCAGTTGTAGATATCTCCACTTTCTTCTTCCCCTATGCCGAGAGTCCCATGGCAGGTTTGAAGTGGAAGTAGAAGGATGGGATATATTGGGAAGACTCTCAGGACCACTAGGCCACGTCAGGTAATTTATTGTCAGAAAAGCCGAGAAAAGGTCATGCTGATCCCAAACTTTTCTCAGCGAGTAATTAGCTCAGCTTGAAGTCTGGCTGGGGTTCATGGAAATATGCTGGCATAAACTCAACTTATTGCGCAGGATTTTCAAATGTTACCTTTCGCTCACCGACTTTTTGTAGTAGGGTTACCTCGAAAGGTTTCACTAAGAAAGTAGCTTTCATAGTAGGGCAGGGTGGTGGTGGGTAACTTGAACGTTCTGAAGATAATCAAGTTGAACCTGAAAAAAAAACAGCTTACGGGGTCGGTTCTATATGTAGCATAGAACTCGCCGAAAGAACCGATCCATATAAATCGTCTGCCCTTTTTTCATGTCGGAACTTCCTGACAACTAAATAAGGAGATCCCGCTTTTTTTACAGAAGAGGCGGGCGCTCGGAACTGTTATTTCTTCGGCTCTTCCTACAGCCCAAGTTGATCGCAGCAGAAGGGCACAGAAGCGCTCACTGCAAATGAAAGCCAGCTTTTTCAGGTCAAATGTGTTGCTGGCGTGTCTTGCTGTGGCCGACATTGTTTTCCTGGTGTTCATGTTTCCACACTCACTGGCTCACTACAAAATCTTCGCATTCAGCTACTGGTTTCGTAGGATCTATCTCGGCTATAAAGATGCATTTGCTGGCCATGCTCAACTGGGCATCAGCAGCCGCAGCAAACATAGGTGAAGTTTATTCATTTTACTCAGTCTATTTAAATTTGGAAATTAAGCTATAATAATTCTTTTCAATTTTATAAATTTTTTTCATCACGACACATTGAAATGTTTCGATCTTTCAGGGGGTATGAGTGAACCTAATGGCTGTTTAGGAAAGCCCAAGCTCAGCAACCCGGTGTAAACAATGTCATAGTGAAATACAACAAATATAAAATCAGCTGTTTGCTGCGAAACTATCAAATTTGTGAGCGTCCGCAATGGACGTCATGGCTCCACACACCCTTCTACGGATATGCGACTTTATCTGATACCGTATCCTGTCCTCTGACGTCTCTGCGCGTCTTGCTCTCGCTAAGCCTTTTCTGGGTCCCGAAATGTGGTGCTAGACTCAGCGTGTGTTGCTGGTAACATCTTGATCCTCCATTAGTTCAGGTGATTCTGTGTATTTGATCTGGAGCGAAGTTGATGGGCCTCTGTATCCGCTGTCAGCTCGACATCTCCAAACACGCACTCCAAAACGGCTTTGATCGTTACGCGATAATCGTGGTCACGAACAGGATTTTCTCACTTCCTACTACCAGTTTAGCTACTATTGTGCTTATAAGCGTTTCTGCAACGGCACGCAGTTTCATGCGATGTGCATACGAAGCGATTCAGAGAGGTTTGTCGAAGCATTTTAGTAATTTATTTATTGGGATAAATTGGCAAGTGTGACAAACGACCGCATCAGCACGCTGAGTCTCGAAATAGGTCTATTCCAGTTAGAGGGGGCATCATGATGCAGTTTTTCCAGAAAGCTACGGTAACTCCGAGCCAGGGGAGTGTAGCCAGTCTAGGGGGTGGGGGTGAGGGCAGTCACTTGACATGCGTGAAAAGCTGGAATGTTCGAGTTCTAGTTCGCCGAGAAACTGCATCATGATGCCCCCCTAACTGGAATAGACCCCTCAGAATTGTTCTATTTCACCTTGCTAAGGGTGCCAAGAGGATAGGTACAAAGCGCATTCAATGAAGGTTGCCTTGAACCCTTCAACAGTTTGTTTTCAGTGAAACGGATTTGAGCCTCGCTTCAATTTAAAGGCAGTGGTCACGGTGGCTGAAGGGCGGTGCGTTTTGATAACGTCATTGAGCGTCATTGGTGGAAGGGCGTTGGTGGGCGGTCCCAGCCACATCCCAGCACGCTGTGGAGTCCAACCCACCAAAAGTGGCGTTCGATGACGTCATCGAAACCGCACCGCCCTACGGCTATCCAAATCACTACTTTTAATGGGACCGGAGGGGCAGATAGGCTACGAATTGATGGCGACATACCGGTAAATTTTGTGCCTACACGGCAACCTGGGTGGCAGTAAATCAGCGCGCCTTCTAGCCGCATGAACCTCTGCCCGTCTCAAATGAGTTTTGGGTTATGCAATAGAGCTAAGAACTTGCCCCCTCCCCTTCTTGTGCAGAACTTTTACCTGTTCAGTTTGCGCCACATTGTGCTTTAAAGGGGGCTTTATGGCCCCAGTTCCACTTAAAAATTGTTAAAATGTTGATTATTCATCTTGAAAGTTTGGGTATTGCTTTTCATGTCGTTTTCCGATTTCCGAGTTTCGCAATCCTTTTTTGCCACCTGCGACTTATTGCTCGGGTTTTAGTCGGCCGCTCATTAATTTCATTTAAGATACTTCATTCGTTTTGATTCTCCTTTTTTCCAGGTGGTTCCGCAATCAAACAAACCCGAGCTCCGCTCTGGTGAAGGCGGTGGCCCATTGGGGACCACATGTGAACGCCGTCTGCGTTATTGTGGTGCCAATTATTCTCGTCGTTATCTCCAATACGATGCTCATCTACACAATCAGGCAGAGGTAGCCCCTTTATATCGATTCGTGCGTGATTTATGGGACAAAACGTTCCGAACCATGACCACTTCAGGCAGAAACAGTTCAACACTCAAGCATCTTACAAATCCGAATCACAAATGTCCGGGTCGCAATCACGTACCGAGCAAAAAGTTACCAGCACCGTTTGTGCCATAGTTACGTGCTTCACCATTACCCAGGTTGGGTAGATTACATCACCATTTCAAAAACTAGGTTGGGTACGCTGCATTTCACGTCTTTCAGGGCCCATCAGCTTTCATCAACATCATGGCAGAGTATTATCCGATCCATAGTGACTTTATGATTGCTGTGGTAAGCCGGCCATTTTCGTGTCTTACATTCAAAGGCGACGACACTTTGGCTATTCAGGCGGCAGTGATTTCTACAATGGTGGTTTTGGGTAAAGCGCTGAACTTCGTGCTGTTCTGTCTTTCATCGGCAAATTTCCGAAGTCGTCTTCTGCAGCAAACGAAAGGTGGCTTGCTTCGTTCGGCACGGAACAGGTGAGTATCTCCCGGCAATTATCACTTCTGATCTCTCCCAAGCTCTATCTGCCTGGCTTGAACACATCCCTCTGTGTCACCCTTTGTGCCTATTTAGGGCTTTGCAGGAGTTCTTACCATGGTTGGCACAGTTCAGGTCCGTGATGCTTGGCCTTGTGACGTTCCCATGTCAGGGTACGGACCGCAATTTTTTGCACTTCGGATTTCGGAAAAAATGGACCGAAATCTGACTTCTCTGCTCCGGCGATTCATTGTGTGTAAATTTCAATCTTCTGAAAGAGCAGTAGATTGTTCAGGGAAAATTCTTCACGTTACATAAAAACTTCAACATTGACGTCAACTGTGCCCAAATAGCTGTGCCCAGCTTTTTGTAGCCGCTGAGTGCCTGCGCTCAGTTGCAGCAAAGTGGCCTCTATAAGCTCAGCTTTTTGCTTAGCCTGGCATATCCCTTATTTTGGTCTACGCTGACTTTAGACGAGATTTAGATGCAATCACTAGCTTCTTTGCTTCAGAAGCTCAAAGATAGTGATCACGATGGCTGGAGGGTGGTACTGTTTCGGTGACGTTATTGAATGCCAGTGGTCGGACCAGACTCATTCAGCGGTATTTTTTGGCGCCCCTTAACGCCCGTCCACCAATGAAGTATATCACAATTACTCAAAACTGCAATGCTCTCCAGCCTATCATAGATTCACTGCCTTTATAGGCCGCAGCTCATAGTTAGCTGAACGCCCGGTAATTCATGAGTAAGGTGGACCAAACTGCACTCGCAGTGATATTTTTAATGCTCAAATTTTAAAACTGGGACGGTATGGGCCTAGATCGCTGGCCTAGATCCTCCCATGACTCTTGTCTCTTCCCTGGAATGAGCGCGAGCCGAGGGCGCTGCACTCGGCTCTTGTTATCTCTCGAATCTCTCTCATCCTTCCGTAACCGATCCATTCTCTATTCTTTCGTTCGGTTTTTTTTTGACAAAAAGTTTACAGCGTGAGGGGGGGGGGCAAAAAAAAAGTCTTTTTTGCCCATGGCGCATATCATCAAACTTTTCGTCGCAAAGGATGCCGCTGTTATTGGGAGTTATACGGCGAAATTATTCCTTAGATGTCCCCCCATAAGCAGAATCAGGCCCACCTTCGCTGCTTTCACCGTCTCCAGAATATGACGTCATCTGTCATCCGTCGAGCTCAAGGAGGCCTACCATAATCGCTCCATTCTGAAGCTGCTACATAATTTCTTCAATCGGATAACTGGTGAATGGCTTCTTAGAGACACTAGCTCTGACTATGCAAGATGGCTTTTGACCAGCGTTTCAGAGACGTCGTAATGTCTATGGTTTCTCGACGACCTCGTTGAGCTCGTACCGTGAACCATGTTTCCGTGGGAAAATCTTCTGATGTCGTCGGTGTAGAAAGCCCCTATGTAATTTTTTTGATAGAATAGAATGTGCTCTTCAATATGCAATTGAGCTCATTCGGTTTGGTTTTGGCAAAGTGTAATTAATTCTGTTTTGAATGTGAGTGAGAGTGACTCTTTTTTTGCCCCCCCCCCCTGTATACGGCGATCATGTGTCAAATGTCAAAAGAATCAAATCGTTTTGAAAAGAAGCTCTCCCTTGTAGCGTTTTTGTCGTTTTCTTTTGCTTCAGTGTCCACATCAGTGTCAATCGGCACCTAACGTTCCTTTTTGTGGAACATAATATCCAACTGCTGATGGGATATCTTTAGTGTCGTTTCTAGCCCACATATTCACGCTAAACAACGATATACACATGCACAATGCACGGAAATCATATTTAGTTTCTTTGCAACATTTAAACTGTTACTTTAGCTTATGCAAGTAATATTAAAATTAATCAGGGATAATTTATCACGTGTCATTTTACGCCCTAAGCCGATGTCAGACTTTGCGAATCGAGCGGTTCGCTAGTGTGAGCGGTCGCGTCGCGTATAGCGAATAGCTTGACGACCGCCGATGCTAGGGAATAGCTCGATTCACATAGTCTGACATCGGTTCAAAAAGGGAAATGAGCAGAATCGCATTCTTTACTCATTTTCCCGCTGTTACGCTTGCCATAATAGCAGCCCCACTCAAAAAATTCCCTTCAACCTGAAGGGGATTTTTTAAACAAGTTTTCTTTGTCCATCTAGGAAGCGTGTAATACATCTTCTTCGAAAAGTCTGTGAATTGAGGGAGGGGGAGGGTGCAGAAGTGCAAAATTCTTCTGAAGTTCCTGGAAAATTCCCTAAAACCATCCATACCCGAAAAATTTCTTCCTAATTCTGCCTAAAAATTTAACCAAAGCTGAAATAGTCCATTTCACCTCAGACAAGTTACTTTTTGAAGCCCTCAAATGCGACTACCTCGTTGAACTTTGGCTATGACCTCTAAAATACCAAATCCTGATGACCTTGATGTTTCCACACCACCTTCCCCATTGATGCGACCCCCATAGCCTTCTTGGGCTCCCCATACCGGAAATCTATTCCCATCTTTGATCGCTGATGGGGTTGAGGATTCTATCCGTTGAACATGGACCCGGGAACACACTTACAGCTCCCTCTCCCCACTGTTTTTCACGGTTCACTGTCCTCCTTTTACATCTCCAACTACAATCCCCCAAAATTCCAAGGTTGGCCTTTATTGAAATCGTGAATATGACCTTTTAATCAAAGAACCCTCGATGTCGGCAATACCTGACCAGTAATCGAAGAATTGAAGCGAATTATGCAATTATGACAGTACAAATATCGAAGGTGAAGTTTTGTCCGCAATCACGGCAGGCACAGCAGTGGAAACTGAGTGCAATTGGGAGAATATTGCAAGGCTATCGCGGATTTGATCCAAAATGCACGAATACGCGCCGCAGGAATGTACAAAGCTTTTTTCGGTTCCATGTACTTGTGTTTTAAATGCTGTCTATGGCGTAGTGGTTCACTAGTTGAAATCAATTTTAGAACTCAATCGATAGCTGTTCATCTGCCAAAGAACGGCCGAAAATGCGACACGGCAGTACTTCTGCAAGCGACTCCTTGACAACTACGGTAATTAGTGATCTTAAGTAAACAACTTGTAGTAGTGGTTGTTTGCATGGCTAGATTGCATGAACGCACGATTGCATGGCTGTCTTTGCATGTTTGCTACGCTTCTGGGGATAAAGCTTGATCACAGAGATCAGGACTGGCTGATCCTGATTGGAATTTTTTCAGATTACTGTACAGTAGTAT